GTGAGGGAAAAACAGCAATGAAGCTGCGAGCTAAGCCCTACAATGTTCAGTAGACTCCTGTGAATCCGGGTGGAGACCTGGTTGGCCAAAAGTATGGCAAGACCTGGGGACTCTTGGGCCCAGCGTCAGTGACATAGCCACAGAGGACTAGAGTAGAGAGTGAAATGTCCAGCTGATAAGAAGAGAGGACATATGCACAAGAACACCCAGATGTGCAGATAATACCCACTTGACCTGGTTTCAATGACTAGATGATCAGAACTCCACTAGAAGAAGAAAGAAGAGGAAAAAAAGAGTAATCTGATACAATTTGATGAACTTGACGTACACCTATGGTCAAAAGAGGGAACAAATCTTTAAAGCAAGGATCATTCCCACTACTTCCATACGCAGAGTAGACAGGGGTGGGCAAGTTGGACATTGGCTACCCAAAATGGGGTGAGGGGGGCAAGAAGTGACTGACTTACAAGCTTTCAAGAGGGAGCCTAGATCCAGAGGGCATGGAGGAAGGTAGAATCTCCACTGAGTAGTATCCAGTCTGTCTGGGCGGGGCTAATGAAAGAGATGGGGATAGGTCCCTTGTGGTAGAATGGTGAATAATTGTACTGACTGTGTACTGACTGTGAGGGTTGGAAATGTAAAGGTGGACATTTTTAGTGAAAGGAGGAGAGTGACTGACTTTGCAGTCCAGAAGCAGAGGTCCCTGGAACCATCAAGGGAGAAGAGTAGAGTACGGGATCCTACCCAGAGAAGCAGTAACACCAGAGATGGAGGCAAAGATGATGACGTGGAGAGATGGAGCGGCTGGGGACTCTAGACCCAGAGAGGGAGAGGGGCTGTGTACTGATGACTGGGAGGGCAGGCTTGCAGGTATATCCTTTGGTTGGTTGATGATGCATGGAGGGGAATGTAACCATGGCAATGAAATGATATATGATAGGATGAATGTAAAGCTAATGTTCTTCCATGTAAACTATCATATAATTCACAATAAACATTAATATATATGTTAATTTATATACATAATATATATTAATAATAACATAATATAAACGTTTTATATATATACATATATATAATTTGCTTCATTACAATGATTACAATCCCCTCCATGTACCAACAGCTAACTGTATTTATCTCTATTCACATTAATTATTGCATTCTTCCCTGTGTTTCCTGCTACCTTCATCTTTCCCCTATTAACCTCCCTCTTGTATATTGCCTGCTCTGTCACCCATGTTAACATGTGTCTACCTTCTACTCTGAATAATCGTCACCCCCGTAACCACCATACATTTTTTTTTTTTACCAAGAAATTTTTTTTTTACAACATTGTTCTCAACAATATTTGTCCTTCTGTGATTGACCAACTTTACTCAGCATAATGTCCTCCAGGTTCATCCATGTTGTGAGGTGCTTAGCAGATTCATCATTATTCTTCAGTGTTCCATTGTGTGTACATGCCAAAGTTAGTTGAATCATTCTTTGGTTAATACACATTTAGGCTGTCTCCATCTTTTTGATGTGTCTTTTGTAGACCTCTTACTGAAAGATCCTGTTTTCTTGTCAACTCTGTTCTCTCTTGACTGGTGTATTTAATCCATTTATAGTGGGCGTGAAATGGTATCTCATTGTGGTTTTGATTTGCATCTCTCTGATGGCTAGTAATGCTGAGCATCTTTTCATGTGATTAGGGACCATTTGAATGTCTTGTTTGGTGAAATGTCCATTCAGGTTCTTAACCCATTTTATAATTGTGTTATTTGTCTGTTTGTTAGGTTGTCAATGTTTTATACATGTATTTTTGCTTATTAGATTCTTGGATATATGGTTACTAGCATTCTTATTAGGAGTCCTGGTGTAGTACTGAAGGATAAGCACTAGACTATTAATGTCATAAGGTCAGTGGTTCAAACCCACTGGCTGCTCCTCAGAAACCCTATACAGAACCAACTCTACAGCACTTAACAGCAACAACAGCATCATTCTTCTTGGTATTCCTTGGTTTCAGCGACATCTGTTTTGGTTTTTTTTTCATTTATAATTGCTTGCTTCTGTTTTTAATCTGCCCATACTGATATGGCCTCATTAACATAGAAACGAAAACCCTGTTCCAAAATAGGATGGCTTCCACAGGTGTATCTGTTGCTTCATGGTGTAGAAGTGCTCCCTTGGGTTTCTGAGGCTGTAAATCTACAGGTGCAGACAGTTTCAGCTTTCTCCCACAGAGTGGCTGGTGGTTTCGAATCGCCAGCCTTATGGTTAGCATCCCATTGCACAACACACTGCACCACCAAGACGTCTTTCTACAGGTATAGGAGTCTAGATTCCAAGGCATTTGGGGGGGACAGTTGAGTCCATAACAACTTGTGTTTCCCAAATAAAGCTCCTTGAGGTTTTGGTTTTCTCACCAGAGCACCCAGAGGAGTCATACACCTGGCATACAGGTACTCCTTGAAGATTTGTAGAATGAATCAATGAGCAAATCACTTGATATCCTTGTAGATTCCTACCCTTTGGTTCCTGAAAACGTGAGACTGAGACTTGGCTATTTTATTCCTAGTTTTAAAACACCGTCTCTGCCGCAACAGTACATACAGGGGTATACTATGTGACTGTCTGTGTTCTCTACTGCGGATAGAAAAGAAATACCATAAACATTCAGTTGGCTTTACCCAACAGAAATTTATTTTTTCATTGTTCAGGAGGCTAGTGGAGTCCTGGTGTGGCACTGTAGGATAAGCAGAGGACTGCAAACCACAAGGTTGGCATTTCAAAGTCACCAGCTGCTCCTCAGAAACCCTGTGTGTAGGATTGCTATGAATCGGAACCAGCTTCACCGTACTTAACAACAAGAAGTCCGAGAAGGAGGCTTTCTTTCTCGGCCAGCTGCGGAGCTTCTCTCCTGGGCAGTATTCATGTGTCTCTGCTTGTTTAATCTCCTTTATATATCAAAAAACAGTGACCCAAGGTACACCCTACACTGTTGTTGTTATTGTTAAGTGTTGTTGAGTCGCTTTCAACTCATAGCGACCCTATATAGGGTTTCTGAGGAGCAGCTGGTGGGTTTGAACTGCCGACCTGTGGTTTACAGTCCAGCACTGATCAATAGCACCACACCAGAAGTCCACACCCTACACGAACCCTTATTAACATAAAGACAACACTTTTCCCAAATGGGATTATAAACTGAGGTTTAGAGTTTAGGACAGAGCCTTGGTGGTGCAGTAGGTGAAATGTTGGATTGCTAACAGCAAGGTTGGTGGTTCAAACCTAGCAGTCACCCAGCAGGGGAAAGATGAGAGTGTCTGCTTTCATGAAGATTTTTAGTCCGGAGACCCTATGGGGTCATTAAGAGTTGGAATCATTTGATGGCAGTGCTTTGTTAGAGGTTAGGATTTACAACACACATTTTGGGGGGACACAATTTAATCCGTAGCAATGTCCATACATAAACCGCTATGTATGGAGAGCTGGTAGCAACTGAGGAAATTCCTAGATTATAATGTTAATAAATAAAAGCAGGGTGCCAAATCTTTCAGTCTGGCAACAATGACAACCCAAACCGCACTTATGTAAAGAGGGGGACGATTTGTAAAGAAAAGGTGCCCTACTGGCTGTATGAAGATGGAGGCACTGTGTGCTTTCTGAGCTTTCTTTAGTGAACAGTCATTGATTTTATCATAGAGAGTGAAAAGAAGGAATGGACTTCTAATCTAAAAGCAGTTCTGTGAGGAGGGCAAGGAATAGATTCGTTCACTTGTGTGTACTGACTTCCTCCACGTGAAGCTCGTGAACTACCTGGGATACGGAATTTAAGGAGACTCTGATGACTCTCAGGAGTCCTGGTGTGGCTCTCTGGGTTAATGCGCCAGACTGCAAAGTCATTTGAACTGCTAGGTCGGAGGTTCAAGCTCACCAACTGCTCCTTGGAAACTCTATACAGGGTCACTATGGGTTGGAATCGACTTGATGGCACTTTTACAACAACAGCAACTGACTCTCAGGGTCGTGCATGTGATCAGCCCTGTGCGTGCATGCTGCCTTCAGTCTTGCACCCTAGATACCCCTGACCCTGCTTCTTACTCTCTGCCAGGCATTGATCTGTGCTGGTTTTATTTTGTTACCTACTGTTGTGTTGGATTTTGACTTATGGCACAATAAATCGAAACACTGCCCAATCTTGTGCTGTCCTTGTGGGTTCAACCGTTGTGATCCGTCTGAGTTTCATCAACTGACTTTGGGAGTAGATTGCCAGGCCATTCTTCCTAGTCCATCTCAAGCTGGAAACTCCTCTGAAACCTGTTCGGCATCATGACAACATGCAGGTCCCCACAGGTGGTGGCTGTGCATGTGCTGCATTGACCAAGGATGGCAAGTTTCTCACACGGAAGGAAAGTTCTATCATGGAACCACATTTGTCTCCTCACAGCTTCGGGTTGTTGTTGTTGTGAAGTGCCGTCGAGTCAGTTCCAACCCATAGCGACTCTGTATAGGGTTTCCGAGGAGCAGCTGGTGAGCTGTAACTGCTGAACTTGCAGTTCAGGCGGCTTTGCAGTCTGACGCATTAACCCACAGCGCCACACCAGGACTCCCACAGCTTCGGGTACTGGGGGTTAATAGAAAATGAAACAGATTCATTTTCTCTAGGAGGGGTAGCAAGCAAGTTCTGTTGCCCCCTAACACAGTCGAGAAATCCGAGGCTCACACTGCTGAAAGAGCTTGTCCGAGTTTATCCAGTGGCCTTTCTCCTTTTTCTTGTGAGATGGCTAAGTTGGTACTGATGTTCAAGTGTTCATGTGCTGTTCCTCATGGGTGTGGAATAGAATCAGCATTATAACGTGGACCGTCCGTGGCGTTCAGTGCATGGTGGCATTTCAGGTGTGGTGAGTGATGGGTGAGTGGGACAAGTGTCAGGAATGAAGCCTGGCTAACAGCGTGGCCCTCTCTGGAAGGATTGCCTTTCAACGCTAAGCAGAGTCCTCTCCCTTACCCTCCAGCCTCCTACGTGATCACGGACCTCACCCAGCTGCGGAAGATCAAGTCCATGGAGCGGGTACAGGGTGTGAGCATCACCCGGGAGCTACTGTGGTGGTGGGGCATGCGGCAGGCCACTGTCCAGCAGCTCGTGGACCTCCTACACCACCTGCAGCTCTACCGCGCTGCTCAGATCATCCTCAACTGTGAGTATATAACCGGATGGGGGTGGGGGTGGGGCTGGGGCGGGGAGGCGGGGCCGGGGGTAGGGCCTGGAGTATCTGTTCTCAGTCATGGTTGCTTTGGCCTTAAAGCTTAAGAAACATCTTTTAATTTGTATGTTTGTTTTAATGAAAGCTTTATCATCCAACATGGAAACTGGTAACAGTGGTTACCTCTGGGGAACGGAATTGAGTGGCCAGGGATTAAGATATTAGAGACTTTATTGCAAAACTTCTTAGACCTTTTACATTTTGAGTATCTATTCAAATATTCAACAAATCCATAAATACAAAGCTGTAACATTAACAATTTTAACTGTCTACCCACTGCCATTGAGTCGATTCTGATTCGTAGCAGCCCTGTCCAAGGTTTTCAAGGCTGTAAATCTTTATGAGAGCACACAGCCTCCTCTTTCTCCCTCAGTGGGTTTGAGCTGCAGATCTTGCTGGTCTATAGCACCAGAGCTCCTGAAAATATGCAATATACTTAAAAAGTACACAATAAAAATAGTTGGTCAGGCAGCGATGGGGACATGGAGAGAGGGAGCAGCTGAGGACCCTAGATTCTTGGAAAAAGAAGGGACTGAGAGCTGGTAGCCAGGAGACAGACATGCAGAAAGTGCCCTTTGGTGGTGTAAATTATTATATATGCCTGAGTGTTTGAAAAAAAGAGCTAAAGTGAATAGAGTTATGGTACATGGAGGGGATTATAACCATTGTAATGAAACAAAGTGTATGATTTGTTGAATGTAAAACTGATCATCTGCCCTGTAAACTTTCACTCAATTTACAATAAAACCTTTTTTTTTTTTTAAAAAGGAACATATATAAAAAATAATAATAATAATTTGTCTTTATCTTAGTTTACCATTTTGTATCTCAAGATTACAATTTAGCAAGTTAACAGTTGCTTACCTATGTTACTAGAAAATTTCCAGGCTTTACAAAACAAAAACAGACAGCTGATTGATTCTGACTTATGGCAACCCCAGGTGTTACAGAGTAGAACTGCTCACAGATTTTCTGTCCCGCAGGAGAAAGATGAGGCTTTCTGCTCCCGTAAAGATTTCTCACCTCAGAAACCCTGTACAGGGTCACTGTGAGTCGGAACCGACTCCATGGCACATAACCACCGCCACTGATTTCTTGTTTTTATTTTTCCATTCCCATTTATTAAAACTCAAAATACGCTTTAAAGCACAAACACGCTTTCTTCTTTTTTCAATATTTCAGCAGACATGTATTATTTTAATTAAAATATTCCTGTAGTTAGCTATGACAATAAAACAATTTTTTTTTGTAGCCCGGTTTACATGAATCAATATACCTACAAGGCGAAACCTCTTTGCTAATTTTTTTCCCTTTCATACATATTTTTAAAAAGTTTTAAAAGATTGACTACTCCCCCTTTTAGTTACATATCTTATACAATTACAGTTGTGACAATCACAATTAATCCTGCTAATAATGACTCACAATTGAGTCATAAAATCCTATCATAGTTGTCACCTGTCTCTTTTCACCAGATCCCTCTGGAGAAGAGGAAAATTCTTCAGTGGGGATTATGCTTTACTCCCTCATTCTGCCACTAGGTGTACTCATGAAAGCCTGTAAACCAAACATTTTGTGCCTTTGTAGCCCCCCATTTTTGATAGCCAAGGTCTAAATGTCTTGTCCTTACCATCCCAGTACACTGAGAAAACAAGGTGCTTCCATTCCTGTGAGAATTTTGTCACTGCATTCATGGCAAGTCTGGTTCATCACATTGTAATAATTTGCAATTGTTTATAGTATTAAACATCTTTATCTTCTTCGATTTGAGTTCTGATCAACTAGCCATCCAAGCTAGGTCAAATGGGTACTAACTGCAAGTTTGGGCATTCATTCACACCTCCCTGCTCTTCAGACCAACTGGCAGCTTCACTCTCAGCCCTACTTCCAGGGGCTAGGTTGGTGCCCATGGGCTCAGGAGTTCACACATCGTCCTAAACTTCAGTCCATTGGCTGTAACCTTTAGAGAAGCAGATTGGTAGGTTTTCTGCTGCAGTAAGTTCAAACCACCAACCATTAGATAAGTTGTTGTTGTTAAGTGCTGTTGAATTGATTCTGACCCATAGCAACTCTGTATAGGGTTTCCGAGGAGTAGCTAGCTGGTGATCTTGAACCACCTGCCTTGCAGTTCAAACGACTTTACAGTCTGATGCATTAGCCCACAGCCCCACACCAGGGCTCTAATCATTTGTGCTGTCTATTGACCTTTTCCATAATCTATATATGTATTTGGAGTCCTGGTGTGGCACTGCGGGTTAATGCGCCAGACTGCAAAGCCATTTGAACTACAAGGTCAGCGATTCAAGTTCACCAGTCACTCCTCAGA